TCTGTCCAATTGCATTGAAGAAGGAGCACAGACATTGGATCGTGTGACGCACTTTCGGTGGTAGAATGCCTCTGATAGCAACTGGCAAGATTTGTGTGATTAGCACATGGCAATTGTGAGACTTCATTCCAACAAGTTTTAGATCGTCCAATTTAACATACTTACTTATCCTCGCTGAATAGCCCAATGGAACTTTAATATCCTTCAAGCATGATAACATTGCGATCTTCTCATCCTTCGACAATGTGTGGCAGGCTGGAGGGAGGTACACTCTACCTGTCTCTGCATCTCGTATGGGCTGGAGTTCACTACGAATATTCATGTCCTGTAGATCAAGGCGCGCGTTCAACCCATCCTTTGTCTTCTCGGGAATATTCAACATCAGACCAACCAAACTCTCACACACATTCTTTTCTACATGCATGAGATCAATGCAATGACGGAAATCAAGATCTTTCCAGTAAGGTAGCCGTCAAAATATGGATTTTTTTCTTCCACATACCCTTCTCCTTTGTCTTGCTACGTTTTCTTTTCTTCCCAAACTCATTGCTTATGTCCTTGACCATATTGTGGACCTCATCTCCGGACAAATCTTTGGGAGCAGGCTGAAGTTCTCTCTTACCGTTAAAAATTTTCTTCTTTCTTCTAAATGCGTGACGTAGCGGGAGCCACCTCCGATGACCCATGTATACCATCTTTCATGATTTCTTCAGCCACCGGCTTCGTGTATGTTCCTTGCAATCGGAGCATGCCTTCTTTCCTTTTATAGTTTGTCCGGAAATATTACCGAGTGCAGGGTAGTCATTAATGGTGCAGAACAATAGAACTCTTAGCTTGAAGTTCTCCTGACCATATGCATCCCAAGTTTCCACACCTTCTTTCCAAAGAATCTCCAGATCGTCGATAACAGGTTCCAGGAATACATCGATATCATTGCCGAGTTGCCTCGGACCTTGGATTAACAAGCACAACATAATATATTTCCGTTTAAAGCATAACCATGGCGGGAGGTTATAGTTCGCAATAAGAACTGGCCAAGTGCTGTGAGTACTACTCATGTCACAGAAAGGATTCATGCTATCCGTATACAGACATATCCTCATGTATCTAGGGTCAGCAGCAAAGTCTTTGTGTTTTCGATCGATATTCTTCCATTCAATCGAATCCGCTGGGAGTCTAAGCATACCGTCATTCCTTCTCTCTGTGGCGTTCCAACGTACTAACTTTGCTTCGTTGGGGTTGGCAAAGATTCTCTTGAAACGATCAATGATAGGTAGATACCACACAACCTTTGCCGAACCACCCCTCTTTGATTTCTTTCCTTCGTCAGCACTTTTTTTTCGCTTGTATCGAGAAGCCTTGCAGACAGGACAAGCATCCAAGTCCGCATATTGCTTGTGGTACAATATGCAGTCGTTTGGACAAGCGTGAATTCTACGGACCTCTAACCCCAGTGGACACAGAACCTGCTTTGCTTCGTATGTCGTCTCGGGCAATGTGTTCTCAACAGGAAGCATAGCCTTCAAAATTCCTAAAAGATCTGTGAAACTCTTGTCTGTCCATCCACTACTTGACTTCAGCTTCATTAGGTCCAAGGTAACTGACAACTTAGTGTGTTTTGCTTTGCATCCAGCGTACAGAGGCGTCTCGGAATCACTGACCAACCTGCTGAACTTCATTCCATCTCTCTCATTCTGGGCTGGGTCCTCAACGTCACGTAACATGTCTTGCAGCAGATCGTGATCCACATCAACCATTTCACCGCCCAATGGAGAAGGTATAAACATGCCATGCTCATCTTCATCTTCCTGATTATGCGCAACACTTCTGTCTGCTGCTGCTCCACTTCCTAATTCTTGCTCTCCATGCTTCACCCAACATGTATAGCCCTCCATGAATCCTCGTTGTATCATATGACCATGTACGTCCTCTCCGCTATCAAACATATTCTCATTCTTGCAATCTGCACATGGACAACACATGTAATCACTGTTTCTTCTTTTCCGATCCTCCTCCGCGGCGTTCATAAAATTTATTATGCCCTTTCTGTACTCCGTAGAATGACGTTTCAAATTTTTCGCATACATCCAACTTCGATCAATTGCTACAAAATAAAAAAAACAAATTACATGCACATCTTATAAGATCAGTATTGCAAAAGTAAGACGTGATGAATTTGCTCAATTAATGATTAATATTACTCACTTGATTGATCCATTTTGATCACTTTTGGGAATTTTCTGTTTTCCTTGGAAAAAAGACAAAAAATCGCCCCATACAGCCTCCCACCAAAATAGTAAACAGTGGGATACAGCTACACTAGGTGGTGGGGGGTATTTATACTGTGCAACAAATATCTGTAACGGCCCTAAAACAATCAACCGTGATGGGCATACAAGTAATCTCTATCGGGCCTTAAGAAAAGCCCGTCAAAAAAGAGTGTCATCTGTGACGGGCATTAAACTTATCTCAATCGGGCCTCTAGTTGGAGCCCGTCACGGATGACACTTATTTGTAACGGGCCATAGTTGAGGCCCGATTGAGATATGAAACCCTCATCTCAATTGGGCCTCAACTATGGCCCGTCACAGATAAGTGTCATCCGTGACGGGCTTTAGTTTTATGCCGATATACCATGGTTGTGCGACCATATCTCAATCGGGCGAAACTTCGGCCCGATTGAGATTACTTCCTTGTGACGGCCCGCAAATTCCAGTCTTGTTATGGGCCGTCACAGATGGAAGGATCTGTACTAGTGTTTCTTAATTAATCATCGTGTAAAACTTTAGAAATAATTAAATTTGGTTAGAGAGAGAGGCTACATTTATTTTTTCAAAACACACAGTATAGACGTAAGCACTCATATAAACGTGTGCACACTCAAGAGGATATAACAACACTAACATGTCTGTCACACGTCAGAAGGATGATACAAAAATTAACTGGTAGCATGATAACTTATAAAAATATATGATGGAAATAGGTAGAAACTTGGAAATTATCTTCAATCTTAGTTTTTTTTTTCAAAAAAAACTTCAATCTTAGAATTCCACGGAAGTACTTAAAAAATCTGAAAAAGCACACATGTAGGAAATATGTAAATATAAAGCTATCGATAGCTCAATCAGTTATATCCTCTGTGTGTAATTCTAAAATACACAAAACAAACAAAAAATAATACTGTTTCAAATTTTGTAAAAAAGAAAATATATAAACATATTCGCGGACGGGCCACGTGTCAACAAGCAGCTAGCGAATAGTTTTCGCTAGTGGGTCACTTGTCGTCTATCAACTAGTTTAATGCTTTTTCGCTAGCGGGCCTCATATCATCAAATGCCAACCGCTAGTAAAGATATATTTTCGCTGGTAGCCCTTAGTTAGCAGCCAATGAAGACAATTTTTGCTCGGGGCTGACTTAAGCCGGCTGCCAACGAAAACATTTCTTCTATTTAGAGGACATGTATGAAATGAGGTGGAGAACATGCACACTTAATATATCCCCTCACCCGAACACATGTTGGCATATATGCAAGTTTGTCGTGGGCTCGTAGAATTATTCAGACCCATATGCTCGGTGAGAGGACGATCGCCTGAGCCGTCATTTTGCTCCCCCAACCATAATCTATCCTTGGATTACAATCAAGCATGACAGGGGTGGACAAAAAGGGCCTTGTCTTAGCAAGTAAGGTGTCCATGTCAAGTGACTGCTCACATAGTGAAATTGCGTGAGTTCCACTGTACATATATACATGCAATGCATGCATATATGCGTGTATATGGCTTCTCATTGGTGCTTATGAGAGTAAGTAAAAAGGTCCGAGCTAATAAGATACCCACAATCTGTAGTAGTTCGCGTCTCCTCCCAAGCATGATCCAACTGCGAAAAAGATGCTTGAACTGATCTTGGGCTGATCACCATGGCAAGCATCATCTGTTGTGTCGTCCGTTATGCAAATTGTCAGATCATGTATACTCCAAATTGATTGGACCGTCATGCTATCCTCTAGGTAACTCTAGCGAATGGCTGCTGGTGGAATCTTTTTGTTAGAATACACACAACTAAAATACATACTACCAACAAAGTTGATTTTCTCCCTTCATTTATTTGAACACATGCATTAAGCATGAATCATTGACAAAATAATATATATATATATATATATATATATATATATGACAGAACAAATCATTGGGGAAAAAAAGATACCAGCTAGCTAGCTGTTTAAGGCATGTCCAGTTTGTTACCACTTTCTCTCTTTTTTTTTCCGTGAAGACGTAAAATAATTGCACGTTAATATATTAGAAGAAAGTAGAATTTTTTTTTGTTACACAACACAATCAGCCAGACAACCATTACCTGGGATAAGAAAGAAAGAGAAAAACAAAAAAGGGCTGCTAAGGTAAAATAAAAACTACTACTGAAACGCTGAAAGGTTTGTTGCCACTTTTAACATTACCAACTTTTGATAAGACAACAAACTAAACACACTTTAACCATTGCTACCTTCCTAAATTTTAGTAGTTTGTAGAAGCTTTATATCTTAAAACTCTATCAAAATTTGACAAAAGCATCAAAACAAACAAAGCCAACACTACCGAAATTTGGTAATACCAAAATATACGAAAATTTAGCATTACCAAAATATGCACTGATAACCCTCTACACAATTAAAGATACACCTGAGCATATTTGTGGATAACAAAATTTAAACCCTGTGGGTCGATCGTATAGTCATGCACCTACGACGCCACGACTCCACTATCACACACCGTACCGATGTCTCTAATGAGAAAATACGAGTAATTTACTTATACTTTAATACATATAGAAATCTTTGCTTTATCCGGCTTCATCTATTTAAGTTGTTTGGTTAAAAATATTAACTGATACTTACACATAAGGAGGAAACAATAATTAAACAAGTACATAAGGTTGTGGAGTCCTTATTCTGTACAAAGATGTTTCACTGTAACTAACCATCTAATGAGCTGAAATTTGATACGGCCGGACAATGTACCAGAACTAGATTTTATTGCACCAAAATACACTGGGATACATTACAAGATGCAAAGCAAGCGATCGCTTTGAGTTACAGTAAGCAGTCCTAAGAGTCAAGCCCTGCCAATCAAAGAAATCAAATTTCCTCAAAATACGAAAGAAATTGAAACTTCATGCAAATACCGGAGCTAGCTGACAAACACACTGTCAATTGCATGAGAAAATCAGTTTATCAAAAAAAGCAACAAATGAAGCACGCATGTCGATCGACGATGAGAAACCGAAGCAGCAAAATATATATCTGATCGGACAACAGTAAGTGGGGTCTGTGTGAAGCGATGCAAATGCAACCAATCTTGACTATTGATATGATCTTGAGTTTTATTCCTAGCATTTTGGGAGATCCAACGGTGGAGGCGGGAGCTTCTGGTCAGGACGGCTGCCATCCAGCACCAGCCACGCCATTTTCAGTCCCCAGCTCATGTGCACCTCCAAGTGACAATGCATGAACCACACACCTGAGATCGTGCAATCGTATCGGCATAAGTATCTTTGATGAGTTATAATTGCAAACTGATTAACTAAAGCTAAATTAAGTTGGTGCAAATGTGGAATCGCAGGGGAATCGATGTGGTTCAGAGTACATGCCTGGGTTGTCTGCGTGGAAGCGGATGGCGACCCAGCCGCCGGCGGGCACGCCGACGGTGTTGCGCTCGACGGGGTCGTAGAGGTTGAACTTGGCCGGGTCGTTGATGGGGTCAAAGTTGCCGAAGCCCTGGCCGACGACGAAGAAGTTGAAGCCGTGCAGGTGCAGCGGGTGGCTCTCGGCGCCAAGAATGCTGGTGTCCTGCATCACCAGCTCGACGTTGGCGCCGTACGGCAGCACGAGCACCTTGGTCCCGTTCATCACGTTGGTGTTGTTCGGCGGCGTGCCGGTGTAGTTGAACGGGTTCAGCGGGTAGTACGGGAAGTTGGAGGCGTACACGCCCTTGGACTTGCCGGCGAAGTGCGACTGGAGCAGCGCCGTCGCCGGGAGCACGAAGGAGACGTTGTTGATGGAGGCGGCGAACCGGGAGCCGTTGGGTCCCTGGCACGTCCCGTTGACGGCGCAGGGGTGGGTGCCGAGCCCCACGGTGAAGAAGAAGCGGTGATCCACCTGCTGCGGCACCGCCGCCGGGTACCCGGCGCTGGCCAGGCTGCGGAGCTTGGCGGTGAAGTTGGAGACGGCGTTGGTGTCGTTGATCTGCGGCAGCGTAGGGGAGAAGATGGGGACGATCTTGCCGGCGGCGGTGGTGGGGCAGGGGTCGTCGTACTCGAGGACGCCGGCGACGGTGGTGTTGTCGAAGGTGCCCTGCGTGGTGGTGTACGGGCGAGCCAGCATGTAGTAGCTGGCGCCCGGGTACGTCGGCTTGGCGGTGAGAAGCACGTTGCTGGTCTGGCCCGGCGCGATGATGAGCGTGTCGACGGTGAAGGGCTTGACGTAGAGCGCGTCGACGTCGACCACGGTGAGCGTGTGGTTGGCGATGGAGAAGAAGAGCTCGTCGTTGAGTGCAGCGTTGATGAGCCTCAGCATGTACGTCTTCCCGGGCTTCACCTTCAGCTTAAACGTGTCTGCACAGCCAAACCACCACACATTGTCACACATTGTGACACGACTAAATTAAACAAAATCAGTCACTAATTAATCACCTTGGGCTGAGCAGTTGTAGAGGGGGCCAGGGAGGCCGTTGAGGGTGTAGGCGTCGGAGATGTTGGGCCCGCCGCCGGTCTGGAGCGCCTGGCTGATCACCGCCTCCGTGTCGTTGTTCCACCACTCGCCGAACATGATGGGCACCTCCTCATGCGGCGCCGGGAACGGGTACCCGACGCCGGCAGGGGGCAAGATGACCATGGGGCCATGCACGGTGGCGCGCAGCCAGGAGATGTGCGCGTGCCACCACAGCGTGCCACGCTGCCCGGTGATGGTGAACCTGTACACGTAGCTTCCCCCGGGCTGGATCGGGCACTGCGTGATGTACGACGGCCCGTCCGCCCACCCGCTCAGCAGCTGCCGGATCCCGTGCCTGCACGCACACGTACGTGAGACACACACGGTGAAAACACTGGGTTTTTTGGCGTCAAAACACGGTGGAAATCGCGAGGCGTACGTACCAGTGGATGCTCATGTTGTAGGGGGAGTGGTTGACGACCGTGACCTCGACGTGGTCGCCCTCGCGGGCGAACAGCGTGGGGCCCGGGTACTGCCCGTTCACCGTCACGATGCTCTTCGTGCTGCACAGCCGCGTCACGCTCGTCGTTTGCACCTGCCATGCATGTCACGGCAAATTCGCGTTGGTTTTTTTTGGCGAAACTTGTGTATCGATGTGATACACCACACCGTGGATATGCATGCACTTACATCGAATAGGTACTGCCTTGTGATGGCTTCAGCTCCCATTGCGGACAGCGTCATCAGTGCTGCGACGAGGAGGCAGCAACGAAGAACAGAGGAGGCTGCCGCCATTGCTACCTTCACTGACCTCTCTGTCTCGTATGTTAATGAAGCTCGCTCTTAGCTAGCTCAGCTTGTGATGGTATGGCCATAACTCGAGGTGTGTATATATACATGAGATCGAGGAGCTATGCTTGCAATGGCAGTGTGTTGGCCAGAAGCATGCAAAGTTATCTACACAAAAGGAAGTTCATTAACCTTTTTCTGGTAAGATAGCTACATATTCTTGTTGGCTTCAATACTGTACTTAGTCTAGCTTTGTTTAGTTCCTTTCATTTGGTGATGGCCTGCTCGAATTAATACTCGATCGATTATCTTTGGATGGATATGGCATGATACGAGCTGGGTTGCCTGAACGTCGCATGCAGTGCAGCTAGCTGCACCAGCCGATCGAGACTCGAGAGGTTGGCCATGCAAAGCATTCTCTGTAGCTAGCTTTGGAGTGTGGCTAAAGTCAACCTGCAGGGTGCATGACTAGTTGTATACTTGTATGCTGCTTCATCACATTGAATAGTTGTTTAAGATTTTCATGCCTTAATCATCACGCACAATCTTTCTCTGCTGCAATTATCCTATAACTAAACACAGCAATAATTAGGTACTACATTCTTTTTGTGATAAGGAAGAAAAGAAGAAGAATAGACTGAAGCCTCTTACTTAAATTTCTAAGATTAAATTCTACTACTTTCTTATTATGTATTGTAGTGGAAACCACGCAAAATCTAAATTTGGAACAGCATTATTGGGCATGCCGGCATGGTTAGCTAGATTTGATTGATGGAACCGAACGACGGCACCACAACAGTAGCTCACAATTAAAGCTCCATAAAAGTGCTTAACAAACAGAAAATATATACAGGATTATTAGATTGACTACTTGAGAAGGAACAGTGATTATTGATCAATTAACAGTGTGGTTTTATCTGAAACTTTTTCTCTCGCTCCAACCCATCAGAAACATGTTAAATCAACAGTAGTTGAATTCTTGCTTTGAGAGAGGAATTTTTGGGAAAAGTTCAGAGAAGGGAGTGACCGCCTCTGGTGCAGTGCATCCACTGCTAGTCAGGCCACAACTTTTCTTCAGCTAGCTGAGCTAGCATAGGTTTTCCTAACCTTATTCTTACATGCCAAGCGACTGCACGAGCAATTGAGCAAATAACAAAAGACTCGCAAGACAGTGACTTGACGAGGAGGAAGGTAGTCTGTTACTCTGTTGATCATCATCCTGGATGACTGCATTGCAAATGGCCAACAAAAAAACAGTCTGTGGAGCATGCATGGGCTCGATCAAAATCAAGGGAGAATTCGTGTGAGATAGGCTTAGCAGGTACTCGTCGCGTGTGAAGTTTGGTCATGTTTTCCTCTTCCCCCAAGCCTCTTCCGGATTCAGAGAAGGATGCCTGAACAAACTCATATCTGTCACTAGGATGAGCTACTTGCCTCCATCCACGCTAGATCTCTTCACTTTCTTTCCCTTTGAAGGTGTTAGGTGTGTATGGCTGCATGGATGTGAAGTATAGTACATTAATCCTTCATTGAACTGCATACCTTAACAACTTTTCTCAATTCCCCAAAACAAAATTCTCACTTTTGATACCTGTTGTCTACATTTTAGTTTGGTAGCATGCACACGAGAAATTTAGTTCTCTGGAAAGCATGTTGTAGAAGCCTGGTGGGTGATTAGAACAAAATGTCAACCATAAGTATAGTTCCCTGATCAAACGGCAATTATCTACTCATAGAGTTAGGGAAGTAGGTTCAGTTGCCGACATAATGTAGGAGCTTAGTACCGTCAATCAATACAGGGCTGATGGCTAACTCCCCAACACATGAGCATTCAAGATTGTTTATCTGAACCATAGGCAATTTTCACTCAATCAATACTCGAGTTCCACTCAAACCCTAGGCAATTGTTTCTCTGAACCGTTTGCTGATCTAGTGCTCTTACATGCGGATGAAGATTGATGGATGATCAACTTATTTATAAAAGTAGATTAAATTTTATAGTATATTATTTAAAACAAGTTGTCTAAGCAACTTGATGTAAGCAAATGGCTGCAGTACTAATATGTTGGATAAATAAAAGAAAAACCATGCCCTTTTACCAGTAAATAGTGATATGCCCGTGCTTTCGAATAATATTCAGAGGAATACGAAGAAATGGAGCTACTACCTACTCTCTCTGTTTCATATTGGGTCTGTTCAGCTGCTCTACACAGCCGCTGCACTACAGCTGGTAAATATCAGTGTAGCCGAACATAGCCATTATGTTTTGATTTTCTTTTTCTTATTCAAACATTTTTTTAACTCTGATCAAATTTATAGAAAACCGTAGCAACGTTTTCAGCACAAAATATCAAAATATATTCAATATTATATTTAATTAAACTATTTTGATGATGTAAATGTAGCTATTTTATTCTATAAAACATGATCAGATTTTAAAATGTTTTGACTAAAAAAATCAAAAAAGTCTTACAATATTAAAAAAAGATAAAGAGAGAGTAGGAGCCTAGGATGCACATAACTGTCACAGCTAAAACAAGAAATGGTGATAAGCCCCCTTTGGTCATCTTTTTCAAGCATCTTTTTCATCATTGTTGGATCATGCTTGGGGGAAGAAAAAGGGAGAGCTGGGCATGCGGTTAGCGCACGACGACGGCTAAACGGCTTGGCACACCGGAAACGAAATTACTACAGATCGGTACTACCCGGACCTTTTTACTTACTCCCATGCCATCAGAAGCCATATACACGCTGACACGCATGGGTTGCATCATCCACAATGGGGCTCACACAATTTGATCATGATATATATGAAAAGACCGGCTATATGTGCAGTCACTTAACAAGGACACTTTACTCGCTAAGCCAACATGCTTTTTGTCCGTCTCTGTGTTATGCTATGCTTGATTGCTATCCAAGGAATAGGTTATGGTTGGGGGAGCAAAATGACGGCTCAGGCGTCCGAATTCGGCCTTTGCGAATCTCGTGGCTCGGTTTAATGGCCACGAGTTCACCACAAATATGCTGTTATAAAACCAGCCCTGAAATCGACATCGGTAGCTAAACGCGGAAGAAAACACCATAGATCCAAACATGATGACGACACCGAGGCACGATATTTGATAACGGAGTTCAGCCGAGGCCTACATCTCCGAGGCACTGATTACGGGTGCTCCTCCCCGATCCAGCATATACAGCGTATCAGAGTTACAACGACTCACGGCCGGTCGCCGCCGGCAGCCGCTTCCTCTCGCTATACTAAGTCGCCATGCGGTTACAACAGGCACGCCCCTTTATTTATGAGAGAACCTAGTATAGAATCCAACTCATACTCTAATCCTAAACTGTAACCGACTACATACACATATTCGACACAAACTCTAATATATGCCAACGTGCTCAGGGACGGATCTAGCAGTGGACGACGGGGGCTTGAGTTTTCGCTATTGGCAACAGAACTATGGGAACATCATATAGTTCTCACTTAATTTTTTTTAATCATACATACATATAAAGGGAGGTTATAGCTTTGTCTACTTTGCTCAAATCCCCCGTCATTTCTTCCTATATCTGCTAACTTATGTAAATTAAAGGATAAAACTTTTAAATTCTGTTTCGTACATGTCATCTAAATCTAAATAGTTATTATAAGATATTCACTTAAAATTTGATAATATACACTATAACGTTACATCGTTAATTAGAGTGATTTATATGTTGTAGTAGGATTTCTCTCTCTCTCTCTCTCTCTTCATATGCACACAGGTTGATCCAATTTATAGATAATAGATTATGTCCCATATTTTACCAGAAATATCATGTTTTTTTTACAGCCCCATCGGTTGGCCTAATAAGCCAAAACCAAAGCCAAAATTTAAATTTTCAAACTTGATTTTAATGTATTTTCAACGTAGTATTTTTTTTAGCAAAACACATGTAAAAGTCTTACCTATAAATTAATTTTTATTCCCCAATAAGCCAAAATGGTCTATTAGATAATATGAGCAACCGATGAGGCTCTTAGAAATGACATTGAAAAACGAGAGCATGTGACTTTAAGGTGCTTGCCTTTTTCCTCTTTTTAGTTTGTGCATGCAATTCACAAACTGATGGAGGTAACCCATGAAGGGTACCAATTTAATTTATGTATCAATAAGAACATATCATGTGTACACATGTTTCAGATGGATATATCATGCACACTGACTAACACATATCACCAAAAATTATAGAAGAAATATACGTGTGTTTCCAATAGTATTACATATATATTCTCATGCCTTTGACTTTCTAAATCAACCTTTTTTTAAGGATGGCAGAGTAATTTCTATCCTTAATATGACATGATTAATGGATATTAGATTGTACCGGTTCATTTATACTTATTGCTTGTGTTTAGTTACAGGATAAATAATTGCATCAGAAAATTAAGATCGTGCGTGATAATTAAGGCAATGAAGAATCTTAAACAACTATTCAATGTAATGAAACTATATACAACTAGTCATGCACCCTGCAGGTTGACTTTAGCCACACTCCAAAGCTAGCTACAGAGAATGCTTTGCATGGCCAACCTCTCGAGTCTCGATCGGCTGGTGCAGCTAGCTGCACTGCATGCGACGTTCAGGCAACCCAGCTCGTATCATGCCATATCCATCCAAAGATAATCGATCGAGTATTAATTCGAGCAGGCCATCACCAAATGAAAGGAACTAAACAAAGCTAGACTAAGTACAGTATTGAAGCCAACAAGAATATGTAGCTATCTTACCAGAAAAAGGTTAATGAACTTCCTTTTGTGTAGATAACTTTGCATGCTTCTGGCCAACACACTGCCATTGCAAGCATAGCTCCTCGATCTCATGTATATATACACACCTCGAGTTATGGCCATACCATCACAAGCTGAGCTAGCTAAGAGCGAGCTTCATTAACATACGAGACAGAGAGGTCAGTGAAGGTAGCAATGGCGGCAGCCTCCTCTGTTCTTCGTTGCTGCCTCCTCGTCGCAGCACTGATGACGCTGTCCGCAATGGGAGCTGAAGCCATCACAAGGCAGTACCTATTCGATGTAAGTGCATGCATATCCACGGTGTGGTGTATCACATCGATACACAAGTTTCGCCAAAAAAAACCAACGCGAATTTGCCGTGACATGCATGGCAGGTGCAAACGACGAGCGTGACGCGGCTGTGCAGCACGAAGAGCATCGTGACGGTGAACGGGCAGTACCCGGGCCCCACGCTGTTCGCCCGCGAGGGCGACCACGTCGAGGTCACGGTCGTCAACCACTCCCCCTACAACATGAGCATCCACTGGTACGTACGCCTCGCGATTTCCACCGTGTTTTGACGCCAAAAAACCCAGTGTTTTCACCGTGTGTGTCTCACGTACGTGTGCGTGCAGGCACGGGATCCGGCAGCTGCTGAGCGGGTGGGCGGACGGGCCGTCGTACATCACGCAGTGCCCGATCCAGCCCGGGGGAAGCTACGTGTACAGGTTCACCATCACCGGGCAGCGTGGCACGCTGTGGTGGCACGCGCACATCTCCTGGCTGCGCGCCACCGTGCATGGCCCCATGGTCATCTTGCCCCCTGCCGGCGTCGGGTACCCGTTCCCGGCGCCGCATGAGGAGGTGCCCATCATGTTCGGCGAGTGGTGGAACAACGACACGGAGGCGGTGATCAGCCAGGCGCTCCAGACCGGCGGCGGGCCCAACATCTCCGACGCCTACACCCTCAACGGCCTCCCTGGCCCCCTCTACAACTGCTCAGCCCAAGGTGATTAATTAGTGACTGATTTTGTTTAATTTAGTCGTGTCACAATGTGTGACAATGTGTGGTGGTTTGGCTGTGCAGACACGTTTAAGCTGAAGGTGAAGCCCGGGAAGACGTACATGCTGAGGCTCATCAACGCTGCACTCAACGACGAGCTCTTCTTCTCCATCGCCAACCACACGCTCACCGTGGTCGACGTCGACGCGCTCTACGTCAAGCCCTTCACCGTCGACACGCTCATCATCGCGCCGGGCCAGACCAGCAACGTGCTTCTCACCGCCAAGCCGACGTACCCGGGCGCCAGCTACTACATGCTGGCTCGCCCGTACACCACCACGCAGGGCACCTTCGACAACACCACCGTCGCCGGCGTCCTCGAGTACGACGACCCCTGCCCCACCACCGCCGCCGGCAAGATCGTCCCCATCTTCTCCCCTACGCTGCCGCAGATCAACGACACCAACGCCGTCTCCAACTTCACCGCCAAGCTCCGCAGCCTGGCCAGCGCCGGGTACCCGGCGGCGGTGCCGCAGCAGGTGGATCACCGCTTCTTCTTCACCGTGGGGCTCGGCACCCACCCCTGCGCCGTCAACGGGACGTGCCAGGGACCCAACGGCTCCCGGTTCGCCGCCTCCATCAACAACGTCTCCTTCGTGCTCCCGGCGACGGCGCTGCTCCAGTCGCACTTCGCCGGCAAGTCCAAGGGCGTGTACGCCTCCAACTTCCCGTACTACCCGCTGAACCCGTTCAACTACACCGGCACGCCGCCGAACAACACCAACGTGATGAACGGGACCAAGGTGCTCGTGCTGCCGTACGGCGCCAACGTCGAGCTGGTGATGCAGGACACCAGCATTCTTGGCGCCGAGAGCCACCCGCTGCACCTGCACGGCTTCAACTTCTTCGTCGTCGGCCAGGGCTTCGGCAACTTTGACCCCATCAACGACCCGGCCAAGTTCAACCTCTACGACCCCGTCGAGCGCAACACCGTCGGCGTGCCCGCCGGCGGCTGGGTCGCCATCCGCTTCCACGCAGACAACCCAGGCATGTACTCTGAACCACATCGATTCCCCTGCGATTCCACATTTGCACCAACTTAATTTAGCTTTAGTTAATCAGTTTGCAATTATAACTCATCAAAGATACTTATGCCGATACGATTGCACGATCTCAGGTGTGTGGTTCATGCATTGTCACTTGGAGGTGCACATGAGCTGGGGACTGAAAATGGCGTGGCTGGTGCTGGATGGCAGCCGTCCTGACCAGAAGCTCCCGCCTCCACCGTTGGATCTCCCAAAATGCTAGGAATAAAACTCAAGATCAATGGTCAATGATTGGATCACTTCGCACTGCCCCTGCTCACTTGTCCGTCAGATATTTTTCTGCTTCGATTTCTCGTCGTTAACTGGCTTGCTTAATTTGTTGCTTTTTTGATAAACTTATTTCTCAGGCGATTGACAGTTTGTTTGTCATCAGTTAGCTCCGGTGTTTTGCATGAAGTTTAAATCTTTGGTGTTGTGAGGAAATTTGATTTCTTTGATTCGCAGGGCTTGACTCTTAGGACTGCTTACTGTAACTCAAAGCTCGCGGGCTTTTGCATCTTGTAATGTATCTCAATGTATTTTGCACTAATAAAATGTACTTGTTATTGAATTCTGTCAGGCGCATGAGTCCATATCAATTTTCAGTTCATTTACCTGTTTAGTTATAGCGAAATATATATGTCATCTTTAGAACTAGCATGGTGGCTCGCGCAAATTGCGCGGTTAGCATCATTATATTTTCTCTCATATAATAACATATATGTTTTCTCATTATATTATTAAAATATATTACAATGACAACATAATTTTAAATTTTGCAATAACTTTACGAAACAACTAATGTGTAATATTCATATTGTATTTTATATACGTGTTAGTTATTAATTATTTTTAATATCAAAATTTAGTTATTTGTAAATTATATATATTCCTATATGGACTCTAGACTTGTGTTTTAATATTTCTTTTTTTAATTCTGAATTTTTATTATTTCTAATTATATTTCTATGTGGACTCTAAACTCATCTTTCAATAATCTTTAATTTTTAATTTCAAATTTCAGTTACTTCTAAATTGTATTCCTATATTGACTTTAAACTCTTCTTCTCATGTTTTTCTTAATTTCGAATTTTAGTTATTTGTAAATTGTATTTTTATATGGACTCTAAACACTACTTTTCATTTTATTATGTTTATTCCGAATTTTAGTTAGTTTTAAATTCCTATATAGACTCTATACTCTACTTCTAATATTCATTATTTTTTAATTCCGAATTTCTATTTTTTTTTCTTAATTGTATTTCTATACTCTACTTATAATATTCCTTATTTTTCATTCCGAATTTCTATTATTTCCTAATTGTATTTCTATAAGTACTCTATACTCTACTTCTAATATTCCTAATTTTTTTAATTCCAAATTTTAGTTATTTCCTAATTGTATTTCTATATGGACTCTAGTCTCCTCTTCTAATATTCCTTATTTTTTAATTCCGAATTTCAACTATTTCTAAGTTGTATTTCTATATGGACTCTAGTCTTCTCTTCTAATATTCCTTATTTTTTTAATTCCGAATTTTAACTATTTCTTCTAATTGTATTTCTATATGGACTCTAGTCTCCTCTTCTAATATTCCTTATTTTTTAATTCCGAAATTTAACTATTTCTAAATTGTATTTCTATATTGACTCTAGTCTCCTCTTCTAATATTCCTTATTTTTTAATTCCGAATTTCAGCTATTTCTAAATTGTATTTCTATATGGACTCTGACTTTTCTTTTTCTCCGATTAATGTGAGAATTTTTAGACCATGAGAGCGAACGTGGAGGCTCCTTTTTCTATTCCTTTAATAATATAATAGATTTGGGACTCTCTACAACTTTGTGTGCTTAATATTTGAACAAATAATTCAATAGACAAAGGCAAACAAAGCAAAGCTAGTACAATCTCATTGTTATGTATAGGTGAATTTTCAATGTTTTGTCATTAGCTTAATTAATCGCTTGGCTAAACTGGTTGGTGCACGTAATACAGTTCACTTTTGGTCTTCGCTTCCGCTGCTCTTCGATTGCTATGGAACACTTGAGATCTTAACTTTTTTGTTGATCGATTGATTTTTATTTTGTCAGTTATTTCCTTTTCTCAAAGGAAGCTCTCGCATTTTTTTTCCCCAAACAGACTGAAACAAAGGTTATTTAGTTACACGGGAAATCATGGCCTCATGGGTAGCGGAGAATTACGGGAGTTTTTATGTTACCATGGGAGAAAATTGCAAACTTCTCAAGCAGACCCTAAGTGAATTTGTTGTAGGATCGAGCTCTCGTCATAGGTCCAATTTAAATCAAAATTGCTTTATTATATGTGCATCCACCTTTTTATTCAAAATAGCAGATCGCTATCTGCCCTCAAAGTAGCTCTGCCAGATTTCTGAAACGCCATTGAATTCAATTAATGATTTTCATAATAAGGGTAGTAGTAGAAACTTCTGGATTAATTACTTACGGGATTTCGTCATATAATAGACCCCGATAACTTATCCAGCTTCATAACCACGTCAAACGTCAGATTGGAAGGACTCTATCTCGAGACTTCTCGTCATTGACATCATGAAATCACAATAGCCAACAACGAAAATGTCCGAAAGTCTGTTGAAAAGCTGACGCCAGGACAAGCTCAAATCATGATCCTCGACTAGCTCTTCGTATTCATTTAAAACAGGGAAACACTATGGCCGGCGAAAAGCCAACTGGGTTCCCACATCAGAGATTAGGCGAGGGCGTTAATTTATACAAATTTTCTTATGCTGCAACAACAAACAAGAATCTATCGAATAGGAGTGCAATTTACAGCTGTAAATTTGCTGCAGGATTACGTGGGTACAACCTCGCCAAGCGAGGGTGTTCCGTCATCATCAGGCTGAGGGGTTTTGGCCGCCTCTTGGTTCTTGCTGTCTTCTTCATCCTGGAACCCTTGCTTGAAGAGGTCGTAGTTAGTTGGCTCGGATGCCTTGAAAGGCCGTTCTCCTAATACCCTAACCAAATCGTCCTGGTGGAGGACCTCCTTCTCAAGCAGCATTTCAGCGATTTTGGCGACTTGCTCCTTGTGCTCAGTTATCAGTTCCACTGTTTTTTTGTACGCCTTGCCAACCCATTCCCTCACCTCATCGTCGATGATGGATGCTGTTTGGTTGCTGTAAGGTTTGGTCATTTCAAAGCCATCGTCCCTCTGAGGGAAGGACAGAAGCCCAACCTTTTCGCTGAAACCGTATACAGCAACCTGCGCATAGGTCATTTTGGTAACTTTCTCCAGGTCATTCTGAGCACCAGTGGAGATCCTTCCAATCAAAACCTGTAACAAGGCAATCAAAACATCTACATTAGGTATCATTCCACTGCCAACATTGTGAACGATTTGACAGCGTAATCATGGAAATATGGAATGAACAAATACCACAACCCAGCACTTGGATTGGCTTATTGTTATTTCATTATGTTATATGACAATAAGTAAAATGTATGGAAGAAGCTGAAAATAATGAGAGAGGACCGATGTTAAAGTAATCAAATGGCATGACGGCAATCCATGTCGAGTCTCGCCGTACATAAGCATATGGTCCAAGCAAAAAAAGAAAGTACCATGTTAAACATCAAAGAATTCATGCTAACCAACAGTGTAATATGAAGACACACAAACATCAATTTGCCTTTCTGGTTAGAGTCATAAATGGTTAGAAGTCTTGATGTAACCAAACCAACAAGAGTTTGACTACCAAATTGTGATAATATTACTCGTATTCACCAAGTCATCATAATTGAATGTGTAAACTGTAACCTAGTTAACCATTTTTTTTTAATTTTTTTACAGCTGTCAAATGCAGAAAAACCTTGTATTCGTTCTAGTCATAAAAACATAACACGCATGCTGTCATAAGAAGACTGAAAAGAAATGGTGTGTCAGCACTCAGCAGTAGGAATTTGAAAGATATATCCACAAAAGGTAGCTATTAACATAAATCAGTCATAAGACTGTAAAAGAATTAGTGTGTACCTCCTCTGCAGCTCGGCCACCTAATGTCATGCATGTCATATCAAAAAGCTGTTCTTTTGTCATCAAAAGATTTTCATTTGGAACATACTGTGCAAATCCTAAAGCAGCTGTTCCACGGGGAACAATTGTAACTTTCAGAAGAGGCTCTGCATGCTCTAAAAACCATCCAGCAACAGCATGACCAGATTCATGGTAAGCAACAGTGCGGCGCTCCAGTTTGCTGATGACCTGCAATTTGATTAACAGGCTAAGAGGTAAGAAAAATAAATGGGGAAACATGACTATCACATGTTGAGAACAAGTCATTTCATATAAAAGAAAGTTACTAAGTTACTAAGCATTGATCTGTGCATTACTCCCTTACTGAAAGTAGATATTTTATATATTTACTATGGAACAAGTTAAAGGTGAAAAAACAGTTATGGCTTGGGCATTCCAAAAGGGAAACATACTGCAGATATTGTGTGTGCAAAGCCACAAATTTCAGAAATCATTATTTTGCGTACACTTAAGTGACCATCCATTTCTGAGTAAGACCTAGAGTTTTTTATATTTGCATGTAGATCCACTACTTATTTTATATAGTTTACCTTGTTTACAGCACTCTCACCTAAACATTCATGCATGATCAACCATCTAGTGATCTACACGAACTATCATGCCACATTCACAAATCACTTAACTTAATTAAGGTCCACCTAGAACAGGAACTTAATGAATGCACTAGTCATTATGTACCGTTCTTTTGTTTTTGTTTTTTTAAAAAAACAAAACTTCCATAGTCATTAAACCAGCAAAAAATGTGTATCAAAATAGAGCATAACCGGTTCACATGAGAGCACTATACAGAACTACACAATGCTGGAGTAATGTGTAAATCAGGCACTAATCAGCTTTGCAGGTTGCATTTATTGCTTTAACAGTTTGGAGTAGATTATCTTCAAACTGGCACATAATCACATATTCACATTACCTTGTTTTTCTTCTCCAAACCACCAATAATTCTATCAATTGCAGATTCAAAATGTTGCATGGTAATCTGAGTTTCCTCACTTCTCGCAGCAATTAAAGCAGCTTCATTACAAACATTGGCAATGTCAGCTCCTGCAAATCCAGGTGTCAAAGCCGCTAGCCTTTGCGAATAAAATGATGGCTCATTGTCAAGTTTAAGTTTTTTAAGATATATGCGGAATATTTGATCACGGCCCTTTATATCTGGCTTGTCTATTGTTATTTGGCGATCAAATCTTCCAGGCCTTAGCAAGGCTTTATCTAAAATATCAGGCCTATTTGTACCAGCAAGAACAACAACACCAGAAGTTGTACCAAACCCATCCATCTCTACAAGCAGCTGGTTCAAAGTACTTTCACGCTCATCATTTGAACCAGAAAACCCTCCACGGCCTCTTGCACGACCAATCGCATCGATCTCATCAATAAATATAATACTGGGAGCACATTGCCGAGCTTCTTGGAATAAGTTCCGTACCCTGGATGGTCCAACCCCAACAAACATTTCCATGAAATCTGATCCAGAAATAGACAGGAAGGGCACACCAGACTCTCCTGCTGTAGCTTTGGCAAGCAGAGTCTTGCCTGTTCCAGGAGGACCCACAAGCAAGGCACCTTTTGGTATCTTAGCTCCTAACTCTTCATACTTCTTGGGATTCTTAAGGAAATGCACAAACTCCATTATTTCTTGCTTAGCTTCATCACAACCAGCTACATCCTTAAAAAACACCTGGACCAACAGAAAAGCTTGTCATTATACAGTTTTTATTGTAACTTAACAACGTTTAAGCAGTAGCTACTGCATTATTGAATAGGTGGAACTAGCAGAGCTTGAGAATCAATGTGCATGTATATATTTCATATTTGACAGTCGTTTCAAAGTAGAACAGAAGAAGAGAATGAACTAACCTTGTTTTTGGAATTTTTGTCCATCTTCGTCACCTGAGCTTTTCCAATATTAAAAATACCACGGCCACCCTTGCCAGGTCCACCTCCAATATTAAAACCACTCTGCATTCTTTTGCTCATCAAATATATTAGCCCAACAAGAAAGACTGTTGGGGCAAATCTCATTACTTCTTGGAACCAATTCACTTCAGCAACATAAGTTACTGGAACAAAATCATGTGGATCTACTCCCAAAGCTTCCTGGGCTTCCTCTAACTTTTCTTCAAAGGAATCAACACTTCCAATATTGAAGTAATACTTGTATCTGCTGGGAGTATGCTTGCTCGGAACATCATTGGTGGTAATGATGGCATCAGTGTTCTGACCTTGGCTGTTCGACTGTGGTGAACTCCTGACATAGACCTTTGCCACTGATTTATTTGAAACAACAATGCGGTCAACTAAACCAGGTTCTAGTAGCTTATTCTTGAATTCCTGGAAGCTTATCTGCAGAAATTTGAAGCAAAATATCTTGAGATTCCATTTAAGATCGAGAATAATTGTTCACCATAGATTTAAAAAGAATAAATATGCAACCACAAAATCAGTTGTCTGCTATATGTTGACTGGTGCAGGCATAAGGTGAAACCATCTAAAGAGGAGCGGCAGGTATTTTCTCTACCATTTGTCAGTTTAAGATAAAACTTCACGGTGAGAAGAATGTATTGCTGCCATCTGGATCTAGTACTGCTTGTATTGAACTATTTATTACAGAATGCTCAATAGCTGATTGCAGTAATTTGATTGGGGTAAGTACAACTTTTATAGTCCTTATAATCGCAACATAGTTTTCTTCCATCCACTTTTTTCTAGTATATAGGAAGAGATTCATGTGCATAGCAGAACAAGTGAATATAATCTGTCAGAACTCAGAAGGGAGTGAAAAATTACCTCCTTTTGGTCTGATGAGCTCGACGACAAGGACGAGAGCATCAGTCCAAGAAACAGTAGAGGTGCCAGAAAATTTTGCAATTGCTTTGAGGCAGTCTCCTGGAAATTCCATTGATCGTCTGTACTTGAATCTTCTGCATATCAAACCAGACATTAGCCCACACGCAATGATGCACTAAGAGTTTATTATTTTGTTGCCCTCAAAAGGACTCTTGGCATTCCAGCCACTAAAATCTAGGCTCCAATCTCCATCAAAACCCGTACTAATCTCCCAAAGAAATTATTAAGATGAAAGTGCTAGGTCAGCGGCACGTTTTAATTTCCAGAGAACTAACGATCTAGCAAAGACCAAAATCTGGAACTTTCTGTGCTACTGTGTTTATTTGGTTCAGCGGTTCAGCCTCTTAAGTTAGATAACCACTGAGGTTCTGAGTTTTTATACTAAATTACAGTGTATCCCTGCATTTTTTTAAAACTGAACAAGGATCTAGTTTGCATTCGTTTTTTAAGAACACTGACAAGTAAGTGGTTGTACACCATAGGCTCACAAGCCATCATTGGTTGCACTACACAAGCTATTTTTCCATTTGGCATCAGTCGACCAAGCACTTGCAGCGCAAGAAAAATAACATGTCCTGATTATTCACCTCGTTGGTTCAATGACAATCAGTACACCAGTTACATGCTATTGTATTAAAAGCTGTGCAGTGCATTCTATTAATTTCACAACATGATCACCATTCTCCACACAAACAAATGATGCAACCGAGAAAAAAAAGACGGCAACTTACGCTTCGAATCAGACTTGTTACTCCCATCCCCCTTCGGCGCCTCCTTCTTGCCCTTGGGGTAGTAGTTCTCGTAATCTAAAAATCATAAAAATACACACACACACACAAAAACACAACCACAAACTTTTAGCACCTAAAGCCATCCATCCGAACCGATCAAAAAAGGGCGGATGGGACTCACTCTTCTTGGACCCGTCAGAGAAGAGCCTCCGGAACTGCGGGTTCGCGAGGATGGACCTCCAGTCTGTCCCAGCCTTCACCGCGGCGGGCCTCCCCAGCGCCGCCGTCAGGTACCCGCGGACGAATCCCAATCCCAGCCCACCGCCCTCCCCGCCATGGAGCGATGGGAGCGGCGACGACGGCGGCGGCGGCGACCTGGTGGTCCCACCTAGCCCACCGAGGGAGAAACCCTAAAAAAAAGCCATCCACACAATCAGCCCCCCACCCAGACGCGGTGGCGGAAGATTCAGGGAAGATAAGAGGGAGAGGGCGGAGACTTGCCTGGCGCGCGCGGGAGGAGGAGGGCGCGGAGCGGCGGGAGAGCGCGCGGGCGAGCGAGGCGAGGCTCATGGCGGCGGCGGCGCCGTGGCGGCGAGCCGTCGGGGGATCCGAGCGCGCGGCGGCGGGGGGGCCGGGCCGAGATGCGTAGCTAGATTTTTTTTTTTCTTTTCGGTTTCTTTTCTCCGCGACTACTGCGTGGCCGCGTCCTGAGCAGGTGGAGGTGGAGGTGAAAGAGGGATCGCCGCGGCGGCGGAAGAGGAGGGGGAGAAGGCGTTTTACCGAGACGATTCGGACGAAGGCGACCGCGGTTTCGGTGGGGGGGCGCTCACGGGATTCCGATCCGAGCTCCGCTCTCTTGGGATGTCGTTGCGGCGGTTTGGGCCGTCGGATCGAAATTGTTGGACGGTGTGAGGTCGCCGAATCGTGTGTTGGGCTCTCTTTTTTTAACATTTTCCGTCCCATCAGCTAGGGTAACACCCTGGCTGCGTTGAAGCTCGGAGATTGAGGTTAGAAACTTCACCTTTTCGCACGTAAAACTGAATAATTTGATTAATTAAATATTAGTTAAAATAAAAAAAGGATTAATATAATTTTGAAGTAATTTTATATAAAATTATTTTTTTATAAAAACACATTGTTGAGCAGTTCAGGAAGCGTACATTTTATTTTTAGAATTACACAGTACGGTGTAGACACTCACAACGCACGCACACTCAGATAAAAAGTAACATTGTGTATAAATGATAAAAGTAACATTTTAAACTTTTTATATTGTGTAAAAAAAAGTTTAATCAAAGAGGGTTTTCGGTATAGTATTTGCAATGCCATGTTTTATTTAACACAAATTCTCCATGTGATAAACGGTATAGATCAATGATCAAGATAACACCATATGTTTAAATCAATGGTTAGATCTGAAAATCTAATAAATACTATATTTTCGTTACCAAATGTTTGACATCTACAGTTAAGGTAATTTAAACATTACTTATATATTTTGTATTTATATTAATTTGTTTAATATTATAAATAGTTTGTCAAAAATCAATAGCATCATGCATTTAAATACGAAGAAAAAATATGTAAAAATAGATAGCTTTGTAAATGAAAATTGATTATAACCACATCTCTCATGGTGCCACCAAATATATTGGAGGCTATGTAAGCTGAAGCGTGTAACCCCAACGTCCAATTGTTACAACTTACAACCTGAAAAGGCGATGGAATATATAGGCCGTCATTCATGAGGAAAAGCAGCTCATTTCAGGCTAGCTGCATATGAAAAGATATTGTACTGTGAATTCATTAATCATCGCTGCTAGTATCTCCGACGACCTTGTTTCCCAAGAAAGAACTTCACGCTGCTTAATTATAGTTTGGTTTTGGTTTTCTTTACTAGAAGAACAAGTCAAACAAGGAACGGCCGTTGCTAGGAAGGGTTTGGATAATATACTTGTTCGCCAGGGAAGCGAAGATAGCAGCAAAGCAGTGACGTCAGATGCGAGAGTGGAGGCTGGATTGCCTTCTTGTTTTGGTTTCAGTCCGTGCATCTGGGGTTGTCCTTGTCTTGTCTTGATTTTGCTAATGAACAATAATCTCAGGGGGCGGAGACAGGAGGGGCTTGGCCAGTTGGCCTCCCCAGGCTTCAAATTTTACACCGAATTTCCTATAACTCTAGCAAACATAGAAAAACTAACAATATTGGTCCCCTTGAACTAAATTCTTCTAGCGTTTCTAGCTCCGCCACTGAATAATCTTACTTTCAGGTTGACTGCTCGGGGTAATTTTGTTATCTTTTTATTTTGATCAATTTTGTCTGTATATAATTGATTGTCTGGTTTTCTTAACAAACTTGGGGGTACAAACTATTAAATTAACTATATTAAGAAACTTATATACATATAACTTTTCTTTAGGAAAAAAATAGCCATTTAAAAGTTCAGAAAACACTCTTGTAATAGTAATATATAATATGTAAGAGAAAAAAAGATGGGGCCTAACCAGGGGCGGGAAAGAAGCTCGGACTCATGAGCTTAGCTCGGTCTTGGCTCGAGCTCGCTTGGCTCGGCTCAGCTTAAATGCCAAACGAGCCAAGCCCAAGTCTCCATTTCAGCTCGTTGCTAAAATGAGTCAAGCCCGGGTTGGCTCGCGAGCCTAGGCTATTATGTAATTATATGAATGATTTTATTTTATAGTGAAGTTATTATTTGTCAATATGAAATTTTATTTGTCAATATGAAATTTATCATGTACTTTATATGGATGATTTTATTTTATTGTGAAGTTATTATTTGTCAATATGAAATTTATCATATCTAGATTTTGAAAAAATTAAATATATGGACTTATTTTAATTATATATGTCGATGATTTATTCTTGATTTTCTTAATGATTACAAATTATATATGAAGAGATGCTTCAATGGGAAGGCTCGCAAGCCAGCCCGATCTGGCTTGAGCCGAGCCGAGCCGAGCTCATATTTTAGCTCGTTTCTCTAACCAAGCCGAGCCAAGCCAAGCCTAGTTTGTTACAGGCCATTGCAAGCTGAGCCGGCTCGTTTCCACCCCTAGGCCTAACAGTTCTACAAGACTTATACTTGATTTCTCACTTGATTTGTGGAGTACAAACAAGTAAGGGCTTACTTATTTGAGTTTAATATTCAGGGAATTGATCTATAGTACTTTAAATGATACTAATGATGACATCTGAGTCCACCTCACATTTGAGCCTCCACAACACATGAATGGCCATAGAATTGATAATTCTATAATTTGTAAATGTTACATAAAAAAACCTTCAAATTCACCTGCCATCCATAGATGAATTATAAACGTCCAATCTTGTATTATTCGTTGTATGGCTTGTGAAATAGATGTAGAGAGAGAGAAAAAAAAAGAGGTGATCTAGCAACATATTTTAGTATTGATGCTTTTGTAGATGACATTATATGTTTAATCAACTAATTATACTATAAATTTATTTTTTTACTTTTGTTTTTATCTTTTATAAGATCCGCTGCAACGTATGGGTCTTTAGCTAGTACTATATCACAAACTGAGAGTGGACTAATGCCAGAAGGACATCAAAACATGATTTACCGAATTCAACGATAAAGGGCTCAGCTTGGGCCACTTCGTTGGCCCATCTTGTTCTCTGAAATGTTTCAGGACAATCATGCACGAACCACGTTCTTGTTTGGACCGGAAATCCTAATCGGCGATTGATCGCCTGGGACGGGGGTAGCGATCAATCCCCCTCCCCCTCCCTCCACCTGGTTTTCTTTTTTGGCACCGCATTACTTTTCTATTTTACTAAATTTATATACCTAAAGTTTATACACCTTAAGTTTACACATCTAAAGTTTATACACCTTAAGTTTATATATCTAAAGTTTAGAGACCAAAAGTTTATAAGTCAAAAGTTTTTATATCCGATTCAAATTTGAATTTGAATTCAATTTTTTTATATATAGTATTTCTATACATCTAAAGTTTATAAACCTAAAGTTTATAGACCCAAAGTTTATAAGTCAAAAGTTTACATACCCGATTCAAATTTGAATTTGAATTATATCTAATTTCAAATTTAAATTTGAATTCAAATATTTTCTATATATAGTATTTTTATGCATCTAAAGTTTATACACCTAAAGTTTATAAGTCAAAAGTTTACATAGCCGATTTGAATTCAAATTTGAATTCAAATTTGAATTTGAATTCAAATATTTTCTATATATAGTATTTCTATACATCTAAAGTTTATACACCTAAAGTTTATAAGTCAAAAGTTTACATACCCGATTCAAATTTAAATTTGAATTCAAATTTTTATATATAGTATTTTTATACATAAATTTTTCTAATTTTTTGTTTTTTTAAAAAATTCATGTGGTGTACTGTAGTAGGAAGAGAAGAAGGGGAGGAGGAAGAGGGGAGAGGAGGGAGGAGTATATGGAGTATAGGGGAGGGGGGCTGATCGCTTGGGCGATTGCCTGGCGATCGATCGCCCATTAGGCCCCCCATGTTTGGACAGATTGATGGACAAAGAAACCGAAAGTTTCCGGAAATGCTACTGAGCGAGGGATCGCCCTCGCTCGCCTATAGCGATCGGGTAACCCGCCCCCCCTCCTCCCCCTTCCTCCACCTGGTTTCCTTTTTTGGCACCGCATTACTTTCCTATTTTAGTAAATTTATGCACCTCAAGTTTATACACCTCAAGTTTACACATCTAAAGTTTAGAGACCAAAAGTTTATAAGTCAAAAGTTTATATATCCGATTCAAATTTGAATTTGATTTCAAATATTTTTTTATATATAGTATTTATATACATCTAAAGTTTATACACCTAAAGTTTATAGACCTAAAGTTTATATATCTTATTCAAATTTGAATTTGAATTATGTCCGATTCAAATTTGAATTTGAATTCAAATATTTTCTATATATAGTATTTCTATACATCTAAAGTTTATACACCTAAAGTTTATAGACCCAAAGTTTATAAGTCAAAAGTTTACATACTGTCACGCCCCGAACTAGCCCCGAACGGAACTAGTCCGTGACGCTCCAAATTAACCTGTCAATCGATACCAGTCCCAGGAAACAGTGCTGGTATCACAGGAAGACAGAATTTCACAGCAACAGAGGTCTCTTTATTGCAGAGTAGGAGTACAGTCATGTTGGGCTGCGGACAGATCCCGAGCTCACAACTGCATTACAAAAGGGAAAGCGAAAGCCAAGACTTGGACCATTCATCACAGGCGCGACTTGGGAACTAGGCCAAAACCCTAAAACTCATCGTAGCCGACTTGCTCCTGGAAGAACTCCTCGTTAGCGGGATCCACTTCATCTTCTTCAGCAACTGGGGGGAATTATTTATATAGAGCAAGGGTGAGTACAGGAGTACTCAGCAAGCCATGGGAATTAAGTATTTAATGCAGGCTTCAAAGGAAAGGCTGTTGTTTTTCTGCAATTGATTTTATTTAAACCCCTTTTTGAAACAACTAAGTGCTTCTCAAACGACACGGATGAGACAGTGCGTCTCGTCCGGTCGGAGTATGTGCGATGTATCAGTCTTTGAATTGATTCAAGGTTGGCACCCGGCCACCCGCTTTCAAACAGCCACCCGGGCCTAGCTGATCCCATCAGCCGCAGATTTTCCAAACATCGATCCCATTCCACAACAGCAATTTCACAAAGCAGTAGTCAAACAAAACTACGCTAGGAATCACCTCACGTCCGCCCATGACCGTGGGCACGGCTGTTCGAACAGTTTAATAACCTCTGCAGAGTGGGTACACTTTACCC